TCAATCACCAATCCCGATATACCTGGTCGCTACCAAGCGAATACTCCCTCTATCAGCGTACTCTTCTGACTAAAGTCACTCCAAAGAACCAAAGCCTGGAATCCCACTCCAAATCAGATAAGCTCAGATCCAAAGCTTGGAATCCCACTCCTTCTTTTTCAAGGCTCCTTCTTCACTCCAAAGAACCACAAGATCACTCAATAGCTCATAAATGGTCACACAAGCTCAATAGACGGGTATTTAGGGTTTGAGAGGGTTTAATGTCTGAGCATGGTGGCCAGGAATAAGGCCATCTTATTCTTTATATATGGACACCCCCTCATTTAGGGTTTTCATTATATGCCTAGTACGCCCAGCATACCCTCTGGTACGCCCATCGTACTAGGTGGCTCCGCTTAAAAGTCACGCAAATGAGTACGCTAAGCGCACACACGTACGCACAATGTACTCAGCTGTCACCTTTCTCAAATAAGGGACTTATCCTGCCAAAGCTTCAAACTTCCATAGTTTACTCGATATAACGATGTTTCCAATGAACCTCATATCCACAGAAAGGTGATGAGAAGCCCTACGCTTCTAGCAACTCGTCGCAGCCCCGAGGCTTCCTCATGTCCGGGTTGCAGCCCTCGAACCCTAATCACGGACGATCTGAAACATGATGTTACATGTAATATATGAGGAAAAGATGAATTGTTGGATACGAATTTGTTTTAACTTGATTTCTTGTGATTGAAAGTGTCGTAAATATGATTAAAAGTTGCTATTGAATCTATTTTAGTTTTTTTTAGTATGGAGTTGTAATCTAACAATTACCACCTCCTGTCTAACATAAAGCTCAAAAACAGTGCCTTCACTTTCACTCGATGAATTGAAAGAAAAAACTAAGAATTTTGGATCTAAGGCATGGATTGGTGAAGGTTAATATAGAAGGGTTTATTTTGCAAACTTAAATAATGGAAAAAGTGTTACTGTGAAAAAAACTTGATGGTTTCTCCAGAGGCTGAATAAAATTCAGAGTTTTTGACTTAGGTAAAGTCAACAATATCCTTTTCTATTTTCATTTCATACTATAACAACATTGTACATTGAAAAATCTACCTAATCACTATTAGATGAAAGTATATTTCATTATTTCTTGCATTCATCTTTATGAATAATGTTTTTCTTTCGATTCAAGGTTTCAATGGTTTCAACACTCTAGCATGACAACTTTGTTGATTTGTGTGGTTAGTATGTTAAGGGAAATACACATATCTTCGCTTATGAATTTGCGACTATGTGATATTCATATGACATATGCATATGAGTATACATATAGATGCATTAAAAATATTTTTTTTAATGTGTATGTGCATATGCATATGTTTTTTAAAAACATGCATATACACAAAAAAATGAATACCCATTAAAAATGCATTTTTATGAAAAAAAATCTTTTTTTAAATATTAATTTCGAAATTTAAAGAATATTTTCGTAAATTTAAAAAAAAATAAAAAAATTTACAGCGTAGAATATTTTCAAATATTAGAATATTTTATATATCTGACAAATCTAGTAGAATAATAGAATATATTCTAACATTCTAAAAATCACATTATAATATTTACAGTGTAATATTCTATTAGAATATTTTATGTATTTTTCAAAAAAAAAACGGTAATTTTTATTTATTATTTATTTATTTAGGTAAATAAAATGACGAAAATAATAATTAAAAAGAGAATTTTTGGATTTTTCCTTTTATTTTTCATATAAAGTTATTTTTAAATTGCGTCACACGGTTTCACAAAATTAGCATGGTTTTAAATGAATCTGAATATATATATATATATATATATATATATATATATATATATATATATATATATATATCTATATATATATAGAGAGAGAGAGAGAGGAGAGAGAGAGAGAGAGAGAGAGAGAAAGAGAGAGGATAGTTCAATTGAGAAAAAAAAATATTGAGAATGGTGGAATCATTTTCAGCCACACATTTAATTTGTCGGGAAACACTTAGGCGTACCGTCGGAAACGGATAACGGATAAACATGTATTTTCCAACCAAACATGTTTTCTTAAACTATGCTAATCATTACCTTAATATACACAAATACATTCTTTTTTGTTTTTTTTAGAAAGCCATTTTTATCGAAAAATTATTTTAAATATATCAAAATTCATAATTTTTTATTCTCTATAAATAGACATCCATATTGATATAGTTTTAAGATAAAATAAAAAATTTATTTTTTTTAGAGTTTCAGCTTTTGTTATTCATAAGTGAATAAAAATCTATCAGATTTTTATTATAGTACATTCATTATTCACTTATGAATAAAACGTATGCTTAACAGATTTTTATTATAGTACATTCGTTATTCACTTATGAATAAAACGTATGCTTAACAGATTTTTATTATAGTACATTCGTTATTCACTTATGAATAAAACGTATGCTTAACTTTTTTTTTATAGTTTAAGTCTCGTTCATATATGAATATGACACGTAATAAAGTTTTCTTACTTAAAATATATTTTTTACATCATCTTTCGTCATATATTATATTTATATATGAATAAAATGTGTATTAGTTGTCGTCATATTTTATATTCATATATGAATAAAACATTTATCAGATTTTTGTTACAGTTAATTTGTTATTCATATATGAATAAGTAGTATAAATGATACTTAAACTGTAAAAAAAAAATTATATATTTTTATTCATAAGTGAATAACGAATGTACTGTTGCAAAAATCTGATGCATTTTTATTCACTTATGAATAACGATAGCTAAAAATATAAAGAAAAATAAATTTTTTATTTTATCTTAAAAGAATATCAATATGGATGTCTATTTGTAGATAATAAAAAATCATGAATTTTGGTATATTTAAAAATCATTTTTCGATAAAAATAGCTTATTAAAAATTAAAAAAAGGAAAAAACACTATGTTTTTGTATATATGTTAAGGTAATGATTAGCATAGTCTAAGGAAACATGTTTTGTTGGAAACACATGTGTATTCCTTATCCATTTCCGCTGGTATAACAGAGTCTTTTGCAGCAAAAATAAATGAGTGGCTGAGAATGATTCTCTCATTCTCAACACTTTTTTTTATTTTCTCAATTGAACTTAGCTATATATATATATATATATATATATATATATATATATATATATAATTTTGTATTTTTAACATTCAAAAAATATTAAATAAAACAAATCACGGTTATGCATGAATATTCTAACAAATATAATACTTATAATGAATACTACTTATAGTATTTTTATTAGAGTATTTTTAAAATTCTATATACGATAATAATCTGATAATAATATTTATGAATTTATAATTTTATTGAAAAAAATTATATTAAAATAATCTGATAAAGATATTATATAAATTTTATATTGACAAAATTGCAAAAATGGTCCTTATGGTATGCAATTTTTTGGGGTTTTAGTCCAAATCACGACTTTTTTGGATTGGTGGTCCTTTTGAGCTAGTTTCATTGCGTTTTTGGTCCCTCTGAATAGTGAAATGACTGTAATACGCTTGGGTTATTTATTTTTCATTTATTTTTCATTTCTTTCATTTTTCCTAAAATCTAAATACTTATTTATTTATTTAACTAATTAAAAAAATAAAAGTCTCTCTCTTTCTCTCTCTCTCTATCTTTCCCTCTCTTCCATCCCACCGTCTTTCCTTCCAAAGATTCGGTGATATCTTCGGCCAACCACCACTGTTCATCATCTCCGACCAGCCACCAACCCACAATATTCAGCACCCTCTGTTACCTGCACATCGTAGCCACCACCACCATCATAAATGAAGTCTGCCTTTCACCTATGACGCCCTCTGGTGAAACCCTTCAACCATAGACATGATCAGCTTCCGATTACCCCTCCAGAAAAGAAAAAACAATTCTAAAAGCTTCTGAAAAATTGAAATCGTTTGAAACTCTCACCCAAACCAAAAAAAACCAAATCCCATCTGATAATTTAAATCATGTTTGAACATCGGTATACCTAAATAAGATGGAATCCTAATTGGTTTGTTGGGGAGAATGGAAATCTGGGAGATAACATCGGGAACTGTGATCTTGGAGAATGTAGGCATTCTCCAAGATTTATCAATTGAACCTCACTTTTGTCGGATAAACTCACCTCGAAGTTTAATTTCACCATACCAATCGTAACCCTAATAAGAAGATCGTGTGTGTATACGATCCGGTTTCTGTTTTGCTCAATTTGAAAGACGTCGATGTCGGTTACAAATTGATTTTGGCTTTCACGATGGGGAAGAAGAAAAAAGATCTGAAGAACAAAAAGAGTTTACTATTGAAGATCCAGGTCGATACTAAAGTGAAGGAGAAGATCGAAAGCTTCAAAACTATTGAACAATAGTGGTTGGCCAAAGATATCACCGGATCTTTGGGAAGGAAAGACGGTGGGATGGAAGAGAGAGAGAGAGGGAGAGAGAGAGAGAGAGATTTTTATTTTTTTTAATTAGTTAAATAAATAAATAAGTATTTAGATTTTAAGAAAAATGAAAAAAATGAAAAATAAATAACCCAAGGGTATTACAGTCATTTCACTATTCAGATGGACCAAAATCGCAATGAAACTAGCTCAAAAGGACCACCAATCTAAAAAAGTCGTGGTTTGGACTAAAACCCCAAAAAATTGCATACCACATAGACAATTTTTGCAATTTTGTCTATTTTTTGAATACTATGCTTGTTGTAATATATTATAAAAATTGCAATTTTTTAATTTTAATTTTAAAAAGAGTGAAAACTAATTAAATAATCTTTTTTATTTTCTTATTTTGACCGCTAAAATATATGGCCAAAACTAGATCCCAATATATGCCCAAAAATGATATGCTGTCATTTTAACTTCTGCCTATATGACTATTGCCTATAAGACTGTATATCTAACCAAAATCCCAACTTCATTGAAAATTAATTTAGAATAGAGCGCTAACGAAATGTATCTCATCTTTCGGTTCTTTCTTATCGCTTGTCTTCTCTTCCTTCTCTTCGTAGTACTTATCAAAACACTTTTTTCTACTTCAAAACCACACAAAAATCTACCACCATCTCCACGAAGGTTACCATTGATAGGAAACCTTCACCAACTTGGTTACAACCCACACCGCACCCTCCGAGCCATGGCTCAAATCTACGGTCCGATGATGTTGATTCGCCTTGGCACCGTGCCAGTGCTTGTAGCATCCTCTGTTGATGCAGCTCGAGAGATTATGAAAACCCATGATTTGATCTTTTCAAACAGGCCGAAATTAAACATTCCCGGTAGACTTTGTTATGGTTCAAAGGACATAGCTTTTTCACAATACGGAGAGTATTGGAGGCAGGTGAAGAGTATTGCAGTGCTCCATCTTCTATCAAACAAAAGGGTTCAGTCGTATAGGCAAGTCAGAGAAGACGAGGTGTCTCTTATGATTAAAAGTATTCGTGAAGCCCATGAATCGGTGGTTAATTTGAGCGAGTTGCTTATTTCACTTACAAATAATGTTGTTTGTAGGGTGGCTTTGGGGAGGACATACGATGGGAAGAAATTTAAGGGTTTGTTAGAAAGGTTTTTGGAGTTGTTGGGAAGCTTTACTGTTGGGAGTTATATTCCATGGCTAACGTGGGTAGATCGGTTGAGTGGACTAGAGCGAAGAGCTGATGAGGTTGCAAAAGAATTCGATGAGTTTCTTGAGGGTGTTATTGAACAACGTTTAAATAAAAAAGGAGTTGGTGTTGTAACCCAATATCTCGTTGATATCTTATTAGAAATTCAAAAAGATAACACGACGGGGTTTCGCCTTGAACGAGATGCGATTAAAGCTATCATCATGGTAAGCTTTTCTTTATCTTTAGGATTCCTACTCCTTCGTATACGTTTCATTTTGTGTTTTATAGGTACCTTGCTATGATTTTTGACGCCATAAAAGTATAAAACTCGTCATATGCAACGAACTTGAGCGTTGCAAAAAACTTCTTTTTCTTTTTCTCTTTTTCTTGTACTATTGCAGGATGAACCCACATTGAAGAACGCATTTAACCGTGAATCATTGTTAAAATATTGAGACTTGTGCTGAATCTTTGTAATGATTTATTGATGATCTTGATCGTGTAGGATGTATTTTCTGCTGGAACTGATACTACGTTTACAAACTTAGAGTGGGCAATCTGCGAGCTATTAAGACACCCACAAACAATGAGAAGACTGCAACAGGAGGCACGCGAAGTGGGCCAAGGAAAATCAATGATCACTGAAGACAACTTAGACAACATGCCCTACCTAAAAGCCGTTCTCAAAGAAACCCTGCGGCTACACGCTCCAGTCCCGCTACTCCTTCTTCGTGAATCAACACAAGATGTCAAACTACTTGGCTACGACATCACAGCAGGAACACAAGTGATCATAAATGCATGGGCGATAGCAAGAGATGGTTCCACATGGGAAGAACCTGATAAGTTTAGGCCAGAGAGGTTTTTGGACAGTCCTATCGATTACAAGGGGCTTCATTTCGAGTTGATACCATTTGGCGCTGGGCGACGAGGATGTCCTGGCATTCAGTTTGCCATGGTTGTTAACGAACTTGTTTTCGCTAATTTGGTGTATAAGTTTGATTTTTCATCAACTGATGGAGAGGATTTGGACATGAGTGAGAGCATTGGTCTTACTGTTCGTAAGAAGTGTCCTATTCTTGTTGTAGCAACTCCTCGCTGTTAGTAGTTGATGGCTGTATTAATTTGTTTAAGTGGACTTTCAGAGGGTATGCAACTATATACGAATTAAAGGTCTTTAGTATATGCGAAACCTATATATGGAAAAATGCTCAATTTTATATTTATTATATACAAGTGAAACAATATATACATTACATCTTGTTTCTATGATTTTACACAATTCTTGCTCCGCTCAATTCGACTGCAATTGATCAGGGATGGTCAGTCTATCGTAATTTTTAAGCGACAGAAAAATGCTCACTTTGTGCTTAGTATACAAGTGAAACAGTAGCTCTCTTATATCTTGCTTCAATGATTTTCTTATGTCTTGCTTCTATGATTTTGCACAATTCTTGTACAACGCTCAATTCGATCGTGATAGAATTCGATCACCATAGATGAGCGACGGACAGTTTTTCGTAACTTTTTCGAACGTCGCACTCAGGGCATCCACAATGCATTGAACTCTATAAAGTTCAATGGAGTGCCATATCATTATTCACTATTTCATACAACTCTATTCATTTTTATCCCACAATGCATTAAACTCTACAGGTTGAATGGAACATATTAAAAAAAAGTATTTATTTACTTAATAGCTAAAAAACATTCATTTATTTAATAGATAAACATACATTAATAAAAATAAAAAAAAATGAAAAATGCATTCATTAAAAGAAAAAAGAAATAAGATAATTAAAAGACATTAACTAAAATTAAAATACCTAAAAATACAATAACTACAAAATATTGTATTTTATTTTGATCTCCTCACAACGGTTCCTTTAAATATCTCGTCCCTCCTCTGACATGGTACTCGGGTCCAAAAAGAAGATTGACATCTCGTCATGTTTGGTTTTTTCTTGTTTAACTTTAATCTTTTCTTGTTTTAAAGCGTTTTTTAAATCCAATGATTTCTGATAGCGTTCATAGTTTTTTTTTGTTATCATGCACATGTTTTTCAAGTATTTCATCAAGTCGACTACTTGATGACGAGGTAGACTTGGACGCTTTGCATTTTATAGCTTTTTTGGCTGCCTTCGTACCAATTGGACGAGATGTATCTTCGTTATCATCCAAGTTGATAAGAGATTGTGCATTAGATGAAGATCTAGATGCCTCAGATGTAGTACCCGCGGCTTTCCATTTGGGTTCATTTTTGACCAAATTCCAAATGTGATCGTGCCTGAAATCTGTAGCATATATTGCACTATAATGCTCAAAAGCTCCCTTTTTTAAATCTTCATCGGACCATCCGCTTAGGTGTTGACTTTTCAACACTAAATAAATTTGATTGAATGCAACAACTAGTGGGTTCATGTAATGCCAATGTGTTTTAAGATTTGTTTGAGCTCTTATAGTGCCTGTTGTGTTGGAACTTTGGTAGTACGTGTTGATACGTTGCCAAAACTCCTTGTCGCGTTGTGCTGTGCCCTTGATGCTATCTTCTGATATATGTAACCAAGCTTTTGCAAGCAATATTTCTTCTTCCCTACTCCAATAGGTTTTCTTAGACTTGGATCGTTTGTTGGTGGGACTAACTTCTGGAGTAGGTTCCATATTTTGAGGGGGGTTTGGATATTGATTTTGAGAAGGATTTGGGCATGGATAATTTGGGTTTGGAGAAATTGGAGATGAAGAATGTGGGTATGGAGGATTGTTTGGATTTTCGAGATCAATAGAATTCAACGGGTTTGTGTAATAATAAGAATTCATGATTTAAGTATGGAGGGTATGAGTGAGGAGATCATGTAATGAAAATGATCACAATAGAGGTTTTTATAGGAAAAATGTTATCGGCACATCCAAATATGAACACTTTGCATAAAGTGATGATATTTTTCATAAGATGTTCAATATTCTCCAAATATTCTGTATGAAATTTCAAGGATTTTGCATAAAAGTTTCAAGTAATTTGGATGACAATTAATAATAAATTCAATTACCATTATTAATTTAAATTTTATTAATGTAATAATTTGGATTACTCCTTGCTAACATAGACTTCAGATATAGAATAGAATCAACAATAGTTACTTTGAGTCAAATATTTCGATGTATCATATTTCATCCAAATGGTATTCATTCAAATATATACTTTTATATTTTGAAATCAAATCATAATGTATTTTTAAGTTTAAGAATATTTTCATGCAAATACTATCTTGTTACCATATATAGATATATATATATATATAATATATAGATATATAGTATAGATATATATATATATATATATAATAATAATAATAATAATAATACTTTCAACCAAATATTATATTTTGTATTCTAAAATCAAATCATATAACATTTTCAAATCTTATAATATTTTCATCCATATATTATGTTTTGTATGAATCAAATCTTATAATATTTTCAACGAAATATATTATATTTTGAATCAAATTTTAGTGGATAATTAAATTACTTATTTTTACATATATAATGATTTGTATACATAAATAAAATATATCATGAATATCATCCATATATTTTCATATATTTTCTATTTGTTAAATATCACCAAAATATTTTCTATTAAATAAAATATTATCCCACCTACTTCCATTTGAATCAATTATGATCCTCATATTGTATATAAGAATATAAATCAACCACACACCTTCAAAATTATATCTTTGTTGATATATTTTGCATAAAATGCCATCATCTTCATCCGATTGTAGTTATGATTTCATAATGAAACAATTGGCAGATAATTCAACAATTCAATTGTATCATGAGCTTAAATGCATAGAAGCAGAACAAGATGATGCAGAAAGTCCAAGACGTCCTAAAAGAAGTCGAACATATATTAAAAGAGATCGTGAATTAGCACATGATCGTCTTTGGAACGACTATTTCGATGAGCATCCTATTTATCCGCCTAATATTTTTCGACGAAGATTCCGGATGAGGAAGGAGTTATTTCTTCGAATAGTTGATGGTATCTCTAATCATTCTGTTTTTTTTTCAACAAAAATTTGATGCTTTAGGTAAAAAAAAGGTCTTTCCCCTTTACAAAAATGCACAGCTGCCATACGCCAGTTAGCATATGGCACAGCGGCTGATCTTTTTGATGAATACATACGAATTGGTGAAACAACATCAATCAAATGTCTAAAAATTTTTTGTAGATGTTTAATTGAGGTTTATTCAAACCATTGCATGAGAAAGCCTAATGCTAATGATATCCAAAATTTATTGCAAAATTTATCTCGCAGATGGTATATATCCCGAATGGGCTACTATAGTTAAAAGCTTTCCACATCCGGTTGACCCAAAGAGGACAAAATTCAAAGAAGTCCAAGAGGGTGCAAGAAAGGATGTCGAAAGAGCTTTTGGTGTTCTTCAATCTCGTTGGGCAATTGTACGAGGACCAGCAAGATCTTGGCAACTCAAGAATATAAAAGATATAATGTATGCATGCATTATATTACATAATAAGATCGTAGAGGACGAAGGAAACACGATTAGTAATTGGTCGGATGATGTTGATCCTCCAATACGTGTACATCGAGGACCAGCCCAAGAAATTCAGTATCAAATTTTAAGAAACGTTGAACTACGTGATAGTGAAGTGCATCACGCACTTCGACATGATTTAATGGAACATATTTGGGAACGATTTTTACAAAACAACGATCAAACTTAATATGTAATTTCATCAAATTTGAGTCGTAAAATATATTAGTATTATATTTCTAGAATGAGTTAAATTGGAAACATTAATCTATTTTTTTATCTTTTTATAATATTATATGATTGTTTTTTTTTTCTTTTTTATTGTTTGTTTGTAGGTTTTTAAATTAAAAAAAATCATGTGGCCCATTTTGTTAATGTGATTAATTATCATTTTTTTGCTTACTTCTCTTTTTTTTCTAAGACTTGGAATTTTAAAATCATATTACGTGTGTGTATATATATATATATATATATATATATATATATATATATATATATATATATATATTAATAAAAGTCTACAAAAACTAATTTGTTATATTTATTTAAAGATTTAAAGACTTTCCTTTTTCCCATTGAATAGTTCAATGACCATTGAAATCTAAATCCATTGAATGCCAAGGTGTCATTTCACAATGATGGAGTTGTATGCATTGAATTACAAGTAAGCATGTCACCTCATTCAACTCTTCCATTAAACTTCTATTGTGGATGCTCTAATTAGCGATATCAATTAATGGTTTTGCCAAGTCTGCGGAAATTAGGAAGGAGAAATACAACGTGAAATTATTAACATCCGTTTCTACCCTATTTTTCATTTATCGAGAACTCTAAGGCCATCCATTATACATCTTACGGGCCATGAACCACTTCCACATCCACCTAGCCATCACGAACCACGAGACAAGAGAGAGGAGAGAGAGGGAGAGGGAGGAGAGAGAGAGAGAGAGAGAGAGAGACTCTCTCATTGGTCATTGTCTTGCATCTTTCCCACAACGAAAACACCCAACCACAATAGGCTGGGGTGGTGTGCACAGACAACCCTCGTGGCAATGTAGACTACGAGCCTCTTCGTCATTGGTATACCGGAAGGTCTAACGGGTACAACTTGTCCTACATGGTATAGAGTCAGCATCTAGCACTTCGATACATGCGATGGAATGGTCTGTCACTAATATATGATTTCTGGTAGTGACACCCTGAAATTAAATATAAAATATGTTTTAAATTCCTTTTCTATTGTATGGTGTGACACAATTTTAATTATAGGTGGCTATATATGTTGAGTCTATGTTCTCTCCATAAGGTTTTTTTAGAGACAATGTTGGAATTCATGCATATCCTACATGGAATCAAAGTTGGCGTCTAGCACTCCTGTGGCTTGACACATTCTTTTTTTATCCTCATCGAAGCTACCATCTCTAAAGGGAAGTGTTAATGTATTTTACATTGATGTGATGCGGTTTTATAAGTGCTTATATATGTTTTTATCTCTTCATAAAGACTCTTCTAAAGAGACAATCTTAGCATCCGTGCATATCTTATATACTTAGGTAGTTAGGTACACATAGGGAAAAAAAACACTTTTGAACATCTCAAAAATTTTTGGAGACGAAATTATTGTCAGTAAATACATGTAAAACATATGACATAGCGTATGATCAATTTGAAAA